GTGTGTGTGTTGTGTGTGGTGTATGTTGTGTGTGTGGTGTATGTTGTGTGTGTATGTTGTGTGTGTGTGTTGTGTGTGGTGTATGTTGTGTGTGTTGTGTGTGGTGTATGTTGTGTGTGTTGTGTGTGGTGTATGTTGTGTGTGTGGTGTATGTTGTGTGTGTATGTTGTGTGTGTGTGTTGTGTGTGGTGTATGTTGTGTGTGTGGTGTATGTTGTGTGTGTATGTTGTGTGTGTTGTGTGTGGTGTATGTTGTGTGTGTATGTTGTGTGTGTGTGTTGTATGTGGTGTATGTTGTGTGTGTGGTGTATGTTGTGTGTGTATGTTGTGTGTGTGTGTTGTGTGTGGTGTATGTTGTGTGTGTATGTTGTGTGTGGTGTATGTTGTGTGTGTGGTGTATGTTGTGTGTGTGTTGTGTGTGGTGTATGTTGTGTGTGTGGTATATGTTGTGTGTGTGGTGTATGTTGTGTGTGTTGTGTGTGGTGTATGTTGTGTGTGTTGTGTGTGTGGTGTGTGTTGTGTGTGTGGTGTATGTTGTGTGTGTGGTGTATGTTGTGTGTGTGGTGTGTGGTGTATGTTGTGTGTGTTGTGTGTGGTGTATGTTGTGTGTGTTGTGTGTGTTGTGTGTGTGGTGTGTGTTGTGTGTGTGGTGTATGTTGTGTTGTGTGTGTTGTGTGTGGTGTATGTTGTGTGTGTGTTGTGTGTGGTGTATGTTGTGTGTGTGTTGTGTGTGGTGTATGTTGTGTGTGTGTTGTGTGTGGTGTATGTTGTGTGTGTGTGGTGTGTGTTGTGTGTGTGTGTGTTGTGTGTGGTGTGTGTGTTGTGTGTGTGGTGTATGTTGTGTGTTGTGTGTGGTGTATGTTGTGTGTGTGGTGTATGTTGTGTGTGTGTGGTGTGTGTTGTGTGTGTGGCGGCAGGCCGGGAGAACTGGGGCAAGGAAAGAGAGAGAGACACGGGGAGAGAGAGACACGGGGAGAGAGAGACACGGGGAGAGAGAGACACGGGGAGAGAGAGACACGGGGAGAGAGAGACACGTGGAGAGAGAGACACGGGGAGAGAGAGACACGTGGAGAGAGAGACACGGGGAGAGAGAGACACGTGGAGAGAGAGACACGGGGAGAGAGAGACACGTGGAGAGAGAGACACGGAGAGAGAGAGACACGTGGAGAGAGAGACACGGGGAGAGAGAGACACGTGGAGAGAGAGACACGGGGAGAGAGAGACACGGGGAGAGAGAGACACGGGGAGAGAGAGACACGGGGAGAGAGAGACACGGGGAGAGAGAGACACGGGGAGAGAGAGACACGGGGAGAGAGAGACACGGGGAGAGAGAGACACGAGGAGAGAGAGACACGAAAGAGAGACACGGGGAGAGAGAGACACGGGGAGAGAGAGACACGGGGAGAGAGAGACACGGGGAGAGAGAGACACGGGGAGAGAGAGACACGGGGACAGAGAGACACGGGGAGAGAGAGACACGGGGAGAGAGAGACACGGGGAGAGAGAGACACGGGGAGAGAGAGACACGGGGAGAGAGAGACACGGGGAAAGAGAGACACGGGGAGAGAGAGACACGGGGAGAGAGAGACACGTGGAGAGAGAGACACGGGGAGAGAGAGACACGGGGAGAGAGAGACACGGGGGAGAGAGAGACACGGGGAGAGAGAGACACGTGGAGAGAGAGACACGGGGAGAGAGAGACACGGGGAGAGAGAGACACGGGGAGAGAGAGACACGGGGAGAGAGAGACACGAGGAGAGAGAGACACGAGGAGAGAGAGACACGAGAGAGACACGTGGAGAGAGAGACACGGGGAGAGAGAGACACGGGGAGAGAGAGACACGGGGAGAGAGAGACACGGGGAGAGAGAGAGAGAGACGATGAGAGAGAGAGACACGGGGAGAGAGAGAGAGAGAGACGATGAGAGAGAGAGACACGGGGAGAGAGAGACACGGGGAGAGAGAGACACGGGGAGAGAGAGAGAGAGACACGGGGAGAGAGAGACACGGGGAGAGAGAGAGACACGGGGAGAGAGAGACACACGGGGAGGGAGAGACACGGGGAGAGAGAGACACGATGAGAGAGACACGATGAGAGAGACACGGGGAGAGAGACACGGGGAGAGAGACACGATGAGAGAGAGACACGGGGAGAGAGAGACACGATGAGAGAGAGAGAGAGACACGGGGAGAGAGACACGGGGAGAGAGAGAGACACGGGGAGAGAGAGAGACACGGGGAGAGAGAGACACGATGAGAGAGAGAGAGAGAGACACGGGGAGAGAGACACGTGGAGAGAGAGAGACAGGGGGAGAGAGACACGGGGAGAGAGAGACACGATGAGAGAGAGAGAGACACGACGAGAGAGAGAGACACGATGAGAGAGAGACACGGGGAGAGAGAGAGACACGATCAGAGAGAGAGAGCGGAGGGAGAGGAGATGAATGGGGAGAGAGGGGGAGGGAGACACGGCGGGAGGGGGGAGGGCAGTCCACGTCTCTATAAAGGAGACTCGGGGCGAGAGAATCCAGACTGCGGAGACACGGGGAGAGAGAGACACACACAGATACATACACAGAGACATACACAGAGACACAGAGACATACACAGAGACACAGAGACACACATACACAGAGACATACACAGATACACACAGAGACATACACAGAGACACACACAGAGACATACACAGAGACATACACAGATACATACACAGAGACATACACAGAGACATACACAGAGACATACACAGATACATACACAGAGACATACACAGATACACACAGAGACATACACAGAGACACACACAGAGACATACACAGAGACATACACAGATACATACACAGAGACATACACAGAGACATACACAGAGACACACAGACACAGAGACATACACAGAGACACAGAGACATACACAGACACAGAGACATACACAGACATAGAGACATACACAGAGACATACACAGAGACACACACAGAGACATACACAGAGACAGAGACATACACAGACACAGAGACATACACAGAGACATAAACAGAGACACACACAGAGACATACACAGAGACATACACAGAGACATACACAGAGACACACAGACACAGAGACATACACAGAGACATACACAGATACATACACAGATACATACACAGAGACATACACAGAGACACACAGACACAGAGACATACACAGAGACATACACAGAGACACACAGACACAGAGACATACACAGAGACATACACAGAGACACACAGACACAGAGACATACACAGAGACACAGAGACATACACAGACACAGAGACATACACAGACATAGAGACATACACAGAGACATACACAGAGACACACACAGAGACATACACAGAGACACACACAGAGACATACACAGAGACATACACAGAGACATACACAGAGACAGAGACATACACAGAGACATACACAGAGACATACACAGAGACAGAGACATACACAGACACAGAGACATACACAGAGACATACACAGACACAGAGACATACACAGAGACATACACAGAGACACACACAGAGACATACACAGAGACATACACAGAGACACACACACAGACACAGAGACATACACAGAGACACACAGACACAGAGACATACACAGAGACACGCGGGGAGACACAGAGACACACAGAGACACACAGAGACACACACACACAGCCACAGAGACATACACAGAGACACACACACAGACACAGAGACATACACAGAGACACACAGACACAGAGACATACACAGAGACACGCGGGGAGACACAGAGACACACAGAGACACACAGAGACACACACAGACACAGAGACATACACAGAGACTCACACACACAGACACAGAGACATACACAGAGGCACACACACACAGACACACAAACACAGAGACATACACAGAGACACGCGGGGGGACACAGAGACACATAGAGACACACAGAGACACACAGAGACACACACAGAGACACACACACACAGACACAGAGACACAGAGAGACACACACAGAGACACAGAGAGACACACACAGAGACACACAGAGACACACACAGAGACACACAGAGACACATAGATACACACAGAGACATACACAGAGACATACATGGAGACACACACAGACACAGAGACATACACAGAGACACGCGGGGAGACACAGAGACACACAGAGACATACACAGAGACACACGGGGCGACACAGAGACACACAGAGACACACACAGAGACACGCGGGGAGACACAGATACACACAGAGACATACACAGAGACACACACACACAGACACAGAGACATACACAGAGACACGCGGGGAGACACAGAGACACACAGAGACACACAGAGACATACACAGAGACACGCAGGGAGACACAGAGACACACAGAGACACACAGAGACACACACAGAGACACGCGGGGACACACAGAGCCACACACAGAGACACACACAGAGACACAGACACAGAGACACACACAGAGACACGCGGGGAGACACAGAGACACACAGAGAGACACGCGGGGAGACACAGACACACAGAGACACACACAGAGACATACACACAGAGACACACACAGAGACACAACGAGACACACACAGACACAGAGACACACACAGAGACACACAGATACACACAGAGACATACAAAGAGACACACAGAGACACGCGGGGAGACAGAGACACAGAGAGACACACACAGAGACACACAGACACAGAGACACACACACAGACACACAGATACACACAGAGGCATACACAGAGATACGCGGGGAGACACAGAGATACACAGAGACACACACAGAGACACACAGAGACACACGGGGAGACAGAGACACACGGGGAGACAAGAGACACAGAGACACACACAAAGACACACACAGAGACACGGGGAGACACACAGAGACACAGAGACACACACAGAGACAGAGATATACACAGAGACACACGGGGAGACAGAGAGACACACAGACACACACACAGAGACACACAGAGACACACAGATACACGGGGAGACAGAGACACACGGGGAGATGGAGACCGACAGAATGGTAAGCTTAACATCGCCATCATCACCACCATCATCATCACCATCATCATCACTACCATCACCACCATCACTACCATCACCACCATCACCACCATCACTACCATAATCACCACCACCACCATCACCACTATCATCACTACCATCACCACTACCATCACCACCATCATAATCACCACCACCATCACCACAAGCACCACCACCATCATCACTACAATCATCATCACCATCACCACCATCATCACCATCATCACCACCATCATCACCACCACCATCATCACCATCACCACCACTACCATCATCACCACCATCACCACCACCATCACCACCACCATTATCACCACCACCAGCATCATCATCACCACCATTATCATCACGACCATCATTACCATCATCAACACCATAATGACCACCACCACCATCATCACCACCTTCACCACCACCATCACCACCACCACCACCACAACCATCACCACCATCATCACCACCACCACCACCATCATCACCATCATCATCACCACTACCACCATCATCACCACCACCACCACCACCATCATCACCTCCATGATTACCACCACCACCACCATCATCACCACCACCACCACCATCATCACCGCCACCACCATCATCATCACCACCACCACCATCACCACCACCACCATCATCACCACCATCATCACCACCACCATCATCACCTCCATGATTACCACCACCACCATCATCACCACCACCACCACCATCATCACCACCACCATCATCACGTCCAAGATCACCACCATCATCACCACGACCACCCCCATCATTATCAGCATGAGGATTGCAAATGTGTTGATTGTTATTCACAAAAGACAAAGATCCCCCGTGTAGCCTCAACAGCCTGTTGGGGCAAGTGCTGTTAGTAGCAAGTAGCAGTGCCTACGAAGAACGGCACGGCACACGAGGTGGGGGGATGGGTGACCAGCACCACGCCCGACCGCCTTTGTCTCCCCCAGTGCTAGCGATGTTTACTGCAAACCGCACCGGGCACTCATTTGAGGCCGAGCCGACCTAGGGGAGGTCCACTACCGGTTCAGATTTATGGTTATCGCTACTGAGTTGGTGTTAGTGGAGCGCTAACCGCTGTCCCACCGCTCCCCTCATCACTCAGCTATATATCAATTCCAGAACATCGCTAGAATTCACATCACTCAGCTCTCTATCCCTTCTATAACATCACTAGAATTCACATCACTCAGCTCTCTATCCCTTCTAGAACATCACTAGAATTCACATCACTCAGCTCTCTATCCATTCTATAACATCACTAGAATTCACATCACTCAGCTGTCTGTCCCTTCTAGAACATCACTAGAATTCACATCACTCAGCTGTCTATCCCTTCTAGAACACCACTAGAATTCACATCACTCAGCTCTCTATCCCTTCTATAACATCACTAGAATTCACATCACTCAGCTGTCTATCCCTTCTAGAACACCACTAGAATTCACATCACTCAGCTGTCTGTCCGTTCTAGTACATCACTAGAATTCACATGACTCAGCTCTCTATCCCTTCTAGAACATCACTAGAATTCACATCACTCAGCTGTCTATCCCTTCTAGTACATCACTAGAATTCACATCACTCAGCTGTCTATCCCTTCTAGTACATCACTAGAATTCACATCACTCAGCTCTCTATCCCTTCTAGAACATCACTAGAATTCACATCACTCAGCTGTCTGTCCCTTCTAGAACATCACTAGAATTCACATCACTCAGCTCTCTATCACTTCTAGAACATCACTAGAATTCACATCACTCAGCTCTCTGTCCCTTCTAGAACATCACTAGAATTCACATCACTCAGCTGTCTGTCCCTTCTAGAACATCACTAGAATTCACATCACTCAGCTGTCTGTCCCTTCTAGTACATCACTAGAATTCACATCACTCAGCTCTCTATCACTTCTAGTACATCACTAGAATTCACATCACTCAGCTCTCTATACCTTCTACAACGTCACTAGAATTCACATCACTCAGCTCTCTATCACTTCTAGAACATCACTAGAATTCACATCACTCAGCTGTCTATCCCTTCTAGAACATCACTAGAATTCACATCACTCAGCTGTCTGTCCCTTCTAGAACATCACTAGAATTCACATCACTCAGCTGTCTGTCCCTTCTAGTACATCACTAGAATTCACATCACTCAGCTCTCTATCACTTCTAGTACATCACTAGAATTCACATCACTCAGCTCTCTATACCTTCTACAACGTCACTAGAATTCACATCACTCAGCTCTCTATCACTTCTAGAACATCACTAGAATTCACATCACTCAGCTGTCTATCCCTTCTAGAACATCACTAGAATTCACATCACTCAGCTGTCTGTCCCTTCTAGAACATCACTAGAATTCACATCACTCAGCTGTCTATCCCTTCTAGAACATCACTAGAATTCACATCACTCAGCTCTGTCCCTTCTAGTACATCACTAGAATTCACATCACTCAGCTCTCTATCACTTCTAGTACATCACTAGAATTCACATCACTCAGCTCTCTATACCTTCTACAACGTCACTAGAATTCACATCACTCAGCTCTCTATCACTTCTAGAACATCACTAGAATTCACATCACTCAGCTGTCTATCCCTTCTAGAACATCACTAGAATTCACATCACTCAGCTGTCTGTCCCTTCTAGAACATCACTAGAATTCACATCACTCAGCTGTCTGTCCCTTCTAGTACATCACTAGAATTCACATCACTCAGCTCTCTATCACTTCTAGTACATCACTAGAATTCACATCACTCAGCTCTCTATACCTTCTACAACGTCACTAGAATTCACATCACTCAGCTCTCTATCACTTCTAGAACATCACTAGAATTCACATCACTCAGCTGTCTATCCCTTCTAGAACATCACTAGAATTCACATCACTCAGCTGTCTGTCCCTTCTAGAACATCACTAGAATTCACATCACTCAGCTGTCTATCCCTTCTAGAACATCACTAGAATTCACATCACTCAGCTCTGTCCCTTCTAGAACATCACTAGAATTCACATCACTCAGCTCTCTATCCCTTCTAGTACATCGCTAGAATTCACATCACTCAGCTGTCTGTCCCTTCTAGAACATCACTAGAATTCACATCACTCAGCTCTCTATCACTTCTAGTACATCACTAGAATTCACATCACTCAGCTCTCTATACCTTCTACAACGTCACTAGAATTCACATCACTCAGCTCTCTATCACTTCTAGAACATCACTAGAATTCACATCACTCAGCTGTCTATCCCTTCTAGAACATCACTAGAATTCACATCACTCAGCTGTCTGTCCCTTCTAGAACATCACTAGAATTCACATCACTCAGCTGTCTGTCCCTTCTAGTACATCACTAGAATTCACATCACTCAGCTCTCTATCACTTCTAGTACATCACTAGAATTCACATCACTCAGCTCTCTATACCTTCTACAAACGTCACTAGAATTCACATCACTCAGCTCTCTATCACTTCTAGAACATCACTAGAATTCACATCACTCAGCTGTCTATCCCTTCTAGAACATCACTAGAATTCACATCACTCAGCTGTCTGTCCCTTCTAGAACATCACTAGAATTCACATCACTCAGCTGTCTATCCCTTCTAGAACATCACTAGAATTCACATCACTCAGCTCTGTCCCTTCTAGAACATCACTAGAATTCACATCACTCAGCTCTCTATCCCTTCTAGTACATCGCTAGAATTCACATCACTCAGCTGTCTGTCCCTTCTAGAACATCACTAGAATTCACATCACTCAGCTGTCTGTCCCTTCTAGAACATCACTAGAATTCACATCACTCAGCTGTCTGTCCCTTCTATAACATCACTAGAATTCACATCACTCAGCTGTCTATCCCTTCTAGTACATCACTAGAATTCACATCACTCAGCTGTCTATCCCTTCAAGAACATCACTAGAATTCACATCACTCAGCTGTCTATCCCTTCAAGAACATCACTAGAATTCACATCACTCAGCTGTCTGTCCCTTCTCGTACATCACTAGAATTCACATCACTCAGCTCTCTATCCCTTCTAGAACGCCGCTAGAATTCACATCACTCAGCTGTCTGTCCCTTCTAGAACATCACTAGAATTCACATCACTCAGCTGTCTATCCCTTCTAGAACGCCGCTAGAATTCACATCACTCAGCTGTCTATCCCTTCTAGTACATCACTAGAATTCACATCACTCAGCTGTCTATCCCTTCAAGAACATCACTAGAATTCACATCACTCAGCTGTCTGTCCCTTCTAGAACATCACTAGAATTCACATCACTCAGCTCTCTGTCCCTTCTAGAACGCCGCTAGAATTCACATCACTCAGCTGTCTGTCCCTTCTTACCGGTCGACCCAGCCTCAAATTAACATCTGCTTCCATTGTAAGCACACCCTATACATGCATAGAAAGGCGGCCGGGATTGGTGATGACCACCCACTTCCCCGGCATTCATAGGCGGCTCTGCTGCTCGTTACGACTCACAGCTACTTGCCCCCTGTAGCCTGCTGGAGGCTACATGGGGGAGCTTTGGCTGTGCCTTTATCTCTCTCTCTCTCTCTGTGTGTTGTGAGCGTCACGCGCTGCAGAATTCCATGACGTAGCCACGTGACCTCCCATTACTCGTGACGTAGTTTGGCTCTGTGAGCCTCCGCGATTTTAACACTGAACTCTATGGGAGCCTTAGTCTGGCTCTGTGAGCCTCAGTGATTAACACTGAACTCTATGGGAGCCTTAGTCTGGCTCTGTGAGCCTCAGTGATTAACACTGAACCCTATGGGAGAGGGAGCCTTAGTTTGGCTCTATGAGCCTCAGTGATGAACACTGAACCCTATGGGAGCCTTAGTCTGGCTCTGTGAGCCTCAGTGATTAACACTGAACCCTATGGGAGAGGGAGCCATAGTCTGGCTCTGTGAGCCTCAGTGATTAACAATGAACCCTATGGGAGAGGGAGCCTTAGTCTGGCTCTATGAGCCTCAGTGATTAACACTGAACCCTATGGGAGAGGGAGCCTTAGTCTGGCTCGGTGAGCCTCAGTGATTAACACTGAACCCTATGGGAGAGGGAGCCTTAGTCTGGCTCTGTGAGCCTCAGTGATTAACACCGAACCCTATGGGAGAGGGAGCCTTAGTCTGGCTCTGTGAGCCTCAGTGATTAACACTGAACCCTATGGGAGCCTTAGTCTGGCTCTGTGAGCCTCAGTGATTAACACTGAACCCTATGGGAGGGGGAGCCTTAGTCTGGCTCTATGAGCCTCAGTGATTAACACTGAACCCTATGGGAGCCTTAGTCTGGCTCTGTGAGCCTCAGTGATTAACACTGAACCCTGAGGGAGCCTTAGTCTGGCTCTGTGAGCCTCAGTGATTAACACTGAACCCTATGGGAGCCTTAGTCTGGCTCTATGAGCCTCAGTGATTAACACTGAACCCTATGGGAGCCTTAGTCTGGCTCTATGAGCCTCAGTGATTAACACTGAACCCTATGGGAGAGGGAGCCTTAGTCTGGCTCTGTGAGCCTCAGTGATTAATACTGAACCCTATGGGAGCCTTAGTCTGGCTCTGTGAGCCTCAGTGTTTAACACTGAACCCTATGGGAGGGGGAGCCTTAGTCTGGCTCTGTGAGCCTCAGTGATTAACACTGAACCCTATGGGAGGGGGAGCCTTAGTCTGGCTCTGTGAGCCTCAGTGATTAACACTGAACCCTGTGGGAGGGAGCCTTAGTCTGGCTCTGCGAGCCTCAGTGATTAACACTGAACCCTGTGGGAGCCTTAGTCTGGCTTTGTGAGCCTCAGTGATTAACACTGAACCCTATGCGAGCCTTAGTCTGGCTCTGTGAATCTCAGTGATTTTAACACTGAACCCACCACTAGAGGCCGCTATAGCAGAGGGTATGGAGGGGGTGCTTGGTCTACTCTTCTAAAATAATATCTGTATAGTTACCCACGTTTTACCCCACCGTAACATTTTGCTCATGAACCCTTACAAATATAATGAACCCTATGGTAAACAAATATAATGTTTTGATTTAAAGCTTTCGTGATTGCAGTAATTCATATGCTTAGTTTTTTCGGTAAAGTCACGTTGAAGAGAAACAACAAAATAATAAAATATATATAAAACAATAAAAAACTTCGTGAGAATTTTTTAATTTGTTTTTTATTGGTTTATATATATTTTATTATTTTGTTGTTTCTCTTCAACGTGACTTTACCGAAAAAAGCTTAGTTTTTTCGGTAAAGTCACGTTGAAGAGAAACAACAAAATAATAAAAAATATATAAAACAATACAAAACTTCGTGATAATTTTTTTAATTGTTTTATATATATTTTATTATTTTGTTGTTTCTCTTCAACGTGACTTTACCGAAAAAACTAAGTATATAAATATAATGTTTACCTCAAATGTCGTTCGCAGGTGGTCGGCGCAACACAATTCTGAGGGGAAACCTGGTGGAACAGGCGACCACATTTGCCAAGAAACGAAGAAATAAATTTATTTTAATTTTAAAATAAAGAAATTATAAAAGGAAAATAATAACGATATAATAAGCGGCCATTTTTCTTTTGTACTTAAAATTTTCGCGCCAATTTCAGCCGCCTCGCCTCGCCCGCGTACGTCACCGCGTCGGCGGGTCGACGTCACCACGCACGCGAGAAACCGGGCCGTTGAAGATGGACGTCACCAGCGCCGACCGCCTGACGTCAACGCGCAGTTAGCGGGGGGGGGGGGCCTACCCAAATAAGGCGCGTGACGTCATCACGCTCAGCCACTTTCTGACGACAGTCGCGGGGGGAGACCCTCCCCCCCGCAGTGTGGATTGTGTGACGTCAGCCGCTGGAGGCCAACCTTATATGGGCATGTTGCGTCATCGTACCCCAGCAACGCCCCCCACCTCCACCACGTGCAGGGGTGGGGGCGGGAGGTGGCCACCGGAAATGCGACGTCACCAGGAGCGCTCCTTATTTGGGTGGATTACGTAACGCGCGCGGGCAACCGGAAACCGGGACGTCATTCCACGTCAATCCCGCGTGCGTCATCGGGTGGTGGGGGCCCCGCCTCCCGCGGGGCTTCTGACGTTGTTGGAAGCCCCGCCCCCTCCTCCAGCTGTTCGTGAATGGGGGTAAATTACCGCACAGCACTTGAATGGATGAATGACTGAGTGAATGAATGGGTGAATGAATCGATGAATGAATGGGTGAATGAATCGATGAATTAATGTTTGAGTGAGTCCGTGGGTGAATGACGCGGTGAATGACTAGATGAAATGGGTGAATGAATGAGTGCGTGGGTGAATTTATCGGTGAATTAATATATTATTCATGGCTGTATGATTTAGTGAGTGCGTGGATGAATGAATGGGTGAATTAATATATGAGCGAGCGTGTGAATGAATCGGTCAATGTGTAAATGAATGGGCGAACGAATTATTGGGTGAGTACATGGGTGAATGAATTGATGAATGAGTCTGTGAATAAATCGGTGAATGGGTGAATGCATAGATGAGTGTGTGAATGAATGGGTGAATGAATTGATGAGTGAGTGTGTGAATGAATGTGTGAATTAATAGATGAGAGAGTATGTGAATGAATGGGTGAATGCATAG